ACCTCATGTATTGCGAAATGGACACGGTTGGCATTTAAGATGACGTTACGTATTTTCGATTCTCATGTTTGACACAGACGAGTGTAATGCTATCTCTTTTGGCTTAAGACGGCACGCCATAGTTGAACAATAACATGTTTATGTTTTCGACGTCGAAGTGCATCATATACATGTAACGTCTGATTTATATATGTCAACATAACATGTCCTTTAGTTTCCATAGTCTAAGGTCTAAGGTCTTTCATTCACAAATTTGTTTTTAAAATCAATAAGGTTATGTCACGAATATAAAAAAATAATATTACTGACTAATGTCACAGTGTCACTGGAAACATCAGTTGAACATTAGCAAGAATTATGAACATGCCGTAAAGTAAGTCATTGCCGCAAATATTTAAAACAGAAAATACGTGAAAAAAATTTCAAGTAATGTGATGTAAACGAGAAACTGCCATCAAAATAAAAATCATCGAAAAAGTAGATAACCATGGTTATTGTAACAGAATCAAAATGAAAATATTTGTAGCAGCGTGGTGATTTCAGTCCAGAGTTCTGGGCACGGTAACATAGGTTGAGCGAGCGAAGCGGCGCTGAGGCGTGTGCAGTCGGAGATGCCTACGGCGCCGCGCAGTACGCAGTCGCCGCGCCAGCGACACGCCCCGCAGCCTGCACCCCGCGGCGAATCGGGACACATCACGCCGTCCAAGATGGCTGCGCTTGGACTCAGGACGCGACAGGAGGTGGCGCCACCAGACAGTCGCCATGCTCCGGATGATGTGCATCAGCGGCCAGCGGTGCCCGCTGTGGTGGGGGACGCTGGCCATGGCGAGGTCAACACCGTCGACTATTCCACCGCCAAAAACACGTATGCCACGTATACCGTGCACTGCGAGACCGATCGACGTGAAATGGGCGACGTCAACGTCGCCTTTAAGAGAAGAGGACCTCCGCCTTGCCCCTGCCCTGAAGATGAGCTTGTAAACATGTACGAACTGAATCGAAAAAGAGCGGCCGAATTTAGAAAAGTAAACCTATTTGGTATCGGCGATGACTTGGATCGTCTGTACGGGCCGCCTCTTGACGATAGGGACCAGAGGGGATACTGCCGGATGATGGCCAAATTACTAGGATTGGAAGGGTCCGCTGGTTATAAAACCCCAACGCATCAGCGCTTACGCAACCGGCTCGTAACCGAGCAGACGTGGTACGACTTGCAAGCCAAAATGTTTCTCCCGCCGCCTGTCACCAACGACCGCCCCATCACCACCGTTCTAAATGAGTTAGAAACAAAAAGAATTAAAACTGCCAAAAAGGAAAGAATGATGTGGAAAATGGTAAGTCGAATTTTTTCCCCCAAATAGTACGTAAGCGTAAGCGCTTAAACCTAAGTACTTCGAATTTCATGCGGCCCATTGTTGCGTAGTCGCTTCTTAAAAATATTCAGATACATGTGTAATAATTCACCAGTATCCATCGTGTTCATTTTCTTTAAAAAGGATCGAATATTTTTATGGATTTAAAAAAACTAGAATTTGCCAACTTTATTTGACGCTGTCACTGTAAAATAGACTATATACCTACTACTACATGCTATTAGAGATAATAATATGCTACTAGATACAACTCCTAGTTTGAGACCAGGCGACTGGGGCGATTGTTTGATGTGTTTTTATTACTTTCCCTAACAAGGATTACCACTCTCGGCCACCATTCTGTCGAGTAACTGGACTTTGTAGAAAACACCCATCGGCTCTCTTCAGACGATACAAAAATAAACAGCATCGAGCTCTATCGATCACCCCGAGCACCTGTCCGCTTTTTCAGTTAGTGTCGCCTGTAATCTCACCGATTTCATGTCTCAATACAACTCTGGATCCACCACATCATTTCCGAAATACTCACCTGCATTAGATTGAAACCGACGCCTAATAGCCACTCGAGACGGCAGCTAACAGCGAGGCTTGCGCAGGACATGACGGCGACGGTGGGCCGCGGCGCGGGGCCGGCCTTCTCGGTGTTCTGGGGCCACGCGCCGCGCGCGCGCCTGTGCGCGTGCCCCGACACGCCGTGCCGCTGCACGCGCACGCGCGCCATGCCGCGCGTCTTCAACATGCCCAAAGGTGAATCCGAAACACGTCACAGCTAGAGTCGATGTCGTTCTTTTCGTTATGCGGCTATGCCTGTCTCGCAACTTCTGATTTACAAAAAACAAACACGCTTGCACCTGGATGAATATTATGGCAGACCCAATTATTTGCAACGACTAAATTAAAACTTTATTTTCATTTTTTGTGCGGGCGTGTCATCAGGTGAAAATGAATTATAACATTACTTTCTTCCGCTATTACTCGGGGTTTGTTATTTTTTACAAGCTCGAAATAATTCAGTTTTAACTGCTGTGGTTTTTATGAGCATTTCTCCACAGCCGCAATTTTCTGTGTCCGTGCACTAAACTCCACTTATTTGTCAAAACGAAAATCTACAAAAGAAGAGAGTGTACAATATAGTTTGAAAGTTAACTGGAGAGCACAAAATCTTCCCAATAAAACTTTCGGACCTATTGGAAAAATCCGAAATGCCTGAAACCTGACAACGGCGGCGTGTCCCGTTTGCAGAATCCAACACAAAGTGTCATTTTTCTCAAAATTCAAATCGTATATCAATATACGATTGCAGTTCGGCGCGCGTTCGGAAACGGACGCGTCCAATACGCAGTGAGAATTATTATAATTCGAGTTTCGCGCCGCATAGACCGCTGCGCGTAAGTGGCAATGGGGTCCCAACAAGTCATAGCCAATGAGCTTTTGGCGTTTATCCAACACGCAATCGATACCAAGGACGCAGTCAGTATCGTGCAGATCTGCAAATCCAACTTCAATGAGGATGAGATTTGCAGTGTTAAAAAATATGTTTTAGAGATTGGCACGGAGGTGTGGCATAAATGTTTTCAAAATTGGTTCATTCGTATGAAAAAGTTCATTAACACTAACGGAGAATATTTTGAGAAACAATAAATTAATTTCTGACCATTTATAGTATTTTTTTCTTATTTATTCCTTTTTTTTTTGATTGAGTCAAATGACTCCACTCCACCTGATGTTAAGTGGAAAGTGGTATCCAAACGCGAAAACGGAAACTTATAGTGCGCCTCACGTATTGTACGTATGTTAGTCTGTAAGGTATATTATATGGGTCATATGGCCTGAAATAACGAAATAATAATAATGAAATAATGTGTAAATAAAAGTAAATAAAATAAAATATTAGACTTTAGTAGACGTATAACAAATTAGATCACAGTAGATACTTATACTCTGAGTTTCACAATAAACTAGACAATAGTTTGATCATATTACTAAGATTACTGCGTGTCCCAGACTTACGCGGGAATTCGGTGGTAGTTACCAATCACACTACATCACAAGTGAAGCAATTTAGAAGCGTCGCAATTCGTTCGTATTATTCGTCCATCACACAGAAAGAGCAGGTGGGTGATTTGTGGACTATAATTATATAAAAGGTGTAAAATAAAAAGATAGAGAGAGGTATGCGAAGAAAAAGTGGAAGAAGAGATTTTGAAGTTGCATGAAATACCTCGTCATGTATAAAATGTAATGAAAGATATTAATCGCGCAAGTTCCAAAAATTTGATTGCTTTTGTAGCTACACGTTGAGTTTCATTTTTTAAGAGATATGGAAATACTTTGTGTGATTGAAAAAAACCTCAACAGAAAATTTTAAACTCATTTTAATTAATAGTCGTGAGATGAAATTTGTCTGCGTTGTTCTAGTCGATTTATAAATAAATTTTAGTTTTTAAAGCTTGATTTAATAGTTAGTGATATTAGTAAATGTTTATGTAGATTATTTAATGTTTTTATTGCCTTTTTCATAATATTTTATACAAAAATTACGCCTTTTGTTAAATTATTCTCATTTCGGTGGGTATTACCGGATTCAGCGGTGGATCAACTATGTCATTAACTGTTAAGAATCTAATTACCCAATTAACGGAATCTTATGTAAGTTTGAGTTCTGTTTCCTTCCCTCTCAACGTTTTCCCTGAAATTCAGAAAAAAAATTCGACAGCCGAAGTCAGAGAAGCCCTTCCAGAAGAAATGCCCTTGTGATGCATTTCTCTACAATGTGTTAATTTAAAAGAAATAATCCAAATAATATTTGTTATAATATTAATACAAAGATCGAACACTCAGAAAAAATTCCTTCGATCCGATCGGATTCGAACCGACGTCTTCTTGCATACCGTGCCAGACGCTATACCAACTAAGCCACGGAACGAACCAACGGACCTCACGAATTTTTCTATGTGCTTGCGTCGTGTTTTTGTATTTAGTTTTTCAACGACTTTTTAGTCGTAGCGCATATAATACTTATTTATTTACTAATACAAAATGATCTCCACTCAGCATTTGTTTGGTTTGCATACAATATACGTAGTTACCCCACGCTGATATAATGGACCGGAACGAAGAACTGAGCGGACCCCACCGACAACCAATAACAAAAAACATAAAACAATAGCAAATTTATTGCAGAGGCCGGGAAGTAAGGGATTGCTGGACGAGTATGAGTTACAAGGACGAACGCCAGTAAGACTTTGTATTAATGCGAGTCAAGCAATTCCCGTTCCCACCGAGGCTTGTATAGTGATTTTCTCAAACAATGAAAGGAAATAATAAAAGACTAAAGAGAGGAAGATATATAATAAAAAAAGGAAAAAAAAAGATTGAGTAGTAATATTTAACATGTTAGGACAATTTGCTAAAAGAAAAAAATGACATATAAAATATGTATAGTTGTTTAAAAATATATTAAAGGTTACAATTTATTTCTTTTAACACTTGACTTTATACAATATATCGCCCCCGTATTCGATTGTTTGTTTTTACTGATTTTTGTTGAAGAAAAAATATTCGTGTAATATAGTATCTAAAAGAGGTATAATTTAAATAATTCAAAAGCTAACTACAAAAATTATTGCGTTTACTACATTTTACACCACATTTCTATCGTCCTGAAAAATTATTAGGTATTCACTATAAGACATCGATATATTCTAATTATTAATTACCTTAATATTATATGATGTTTCCTTTAAGAGGTTGAAATAAAAAAGAGTGTATTTTTAGTTTATTTATTGCCTCTATCTACCCCATCAAACATCCTTCATTTCCAGAGCCTTCTTGCTTTTTTATTCTAGAAACAATGTAATAATAATATAATTATATATAATAATAATAATAACAACGCACATACTCAACATAGCCCCGCACTAGGGAATCCCTATGTCGCGGGTGCCATGGACACACATATAGACAACCACAAATTACACCCAAACTCACGAGAGAAATAAATGTAGGCCATACAAATAATGGTCCCGGCCCGGGAATCGAAACTGGGACCTCTGCGTGGCAGTCCAGCATGGTAACCGTTCGGCCACAGAGGCAGTTATAAGTTAATATAGTCAGAAAGGAGAACTAAATTTAAGACTGAGCAATCCGATGAGGAAGAATGCTGAAGCTTTATACTCCTATGTGAGGTCTTGCTTTTTGATAAGGAGCAATACCTCTCATGGAAGTAGTGACAGATAAAGCAGGATGGGTAGTTATGTATATACAGTACGAGGCCAACATAAACGCCAGAATATTTCAGGCATTTTCAAAATAGATTAAAAAAATGTATTTATCAACAGTGGAAATATAAAAGGGAGTAAGGGACAAAGGTGTACAGATTAGACCTTCGTTCCTTATGCCTTTTCAGATTTCCACAGTTGAACATACCATCAGCAGGAATTTAGAAAACAGACATTGAAAACAAACCTGTCATTCTTGTTAAATATTCTGTCAAAAAGGTTGACTGGGGGCACCAACTCTGTAATTGCTTTGCAAATGACAGCTACTGATTAGGCGTGCAGATTATCTGGCAGAAATAATAGCTTCCTCAGCCTGCACCCTGCCAGCATCTACTTGCTGTAAGGATGCTTCGCACGCTCGCAGCTCTTCAATGTGTAAAAATTCCGCCCGGCTTTGCTCCAATGCTCATCAGGTCTCTGTCATCAAAATAATAGATGTGATGTAATAAAGAGCAGGAAAGAATTTACTTGAATTGAAAGTTACTTTGTTATTGTATTGTTTGTTTGAAGTTATTTCTCTCTGCCGTGGTTGTTGCTGACGTCGATGTGGCATAGATTCTCACCCTGCTTTTCATATCATTCCATACCTGAATAACAATAACAATATTGCATATTATAACAATATGAGTTCTGGTACAATAACTCACTGTATCCTATTATCTCTCATTATGACTCACCTTAGTCCACTCTTCGGGATCTATTGCGGGGCCCTCCTCATTAAAAATAGCCACACACTCGCACCAAAGGCGTGCTGATAGCTCGCGCGAACAACGCCGAACGAAGTCATCCTCAAGCCAAATCTCTGTGCGATTCGAACTCCAGCAAAAATGGAGCTGGCTTACAGCGGTCGTGCGCCTGCGCCGTCCGACGCGCACATCCAAAGTGGCTAACATTCGAGTGTCATTATTAATTCTACATTGCCAACATTTCGAAATTAATAGTAGTTAGCGTGCCTATTTAATTGTGTAAAAAGGTACTATTTAATTAAATTGAATATTAAAACATTAAAACAATGCGTAGGTACTTGCCTCTGCATGTTTTGTCTTTAAGGACAACACGCTAAATTCAATGAATTTGGTTCACAAATCACAACTCACATGTTTGTTTACAATGGAATTTTATGACATTTTTTTAACACACTTTTTGCAAATCGGTCTTTTATAGACTTGGATTCATAGATATTGATATTTCAGTGCGTTTAAAATTTTCGACTACGGAAATTTTGTCGGGTTTTTACGTAGTCAAGGTGCTACGTCTCTCAACGTTTTGCTTGAGGTGTAGCTTTGTTTGGTTGTAGTTTAGCTTTGGTTTAAACCTTTCAAATTGATAGCGCGATTGCATTTCAGGACGCGCTATGAAGCGCATCCCGCGGCCGCACACGGACCTGCCCTACGTCGTGGACCGGCTGAAGCGGAACGTCGAGCTGGACCGCCGCTTCTACATCAAGGCCGCCGAGCGCGGGCTCAGTTAGTTGATTATTACTATTCATTTTATTTTATTCAGGGACCTGACAGCTTTTCGATTCGATTTATTGGTCTTGGTATAAAAAAAGACACATATTATAAATCAGAAACATTATACAGTAAAAAAGAACTTCGAATTATTGTTATGATTTTTTTAATAGTACCAAGTGACGGAGCGAACAAGTCGTTCGCCTGATGGTAAGGTACAAGCCTGTCCATAACAGTTGCAGTGCATCTCAGAGCTTTAAACCGCAAAGATGTGATGGGCACTGCCACTGCGCCCGTTACCCTGAGACATAAGTTGACAAGTCCTATGTGCCTGTAATTTCACCTAATACAAAAATCGAACATATTCATAATCGTAACAAAACTAATGGAATCATCCCACGAAAAATCTTAATAAATATGTTAATATGTTAATTTCATTAAATAGGAAACAGTAAAAAAATTGTTAAAAATTAATAAAACATGCAATAGTAAATACTAAATAAAACATTAAATTCAATTATACGAGTTGGAATGTTAAAATTTAACAACCACTGCATTGTTACTCATTCATTTGATTTTTATATTCTAAATTAAAAAATACAAAGTCCCGGTAATGTTCGTATATATTCCCAACTATATTACATAGTTTACGTTGTGCACACAGTGGACTGCGTACGGCCCGAAGTGTGCCTCGACGAGTGCGTTCCCTACTTCAAGGTAGACAAAAGGAAAGAAGCGCAAGCGTACGACGAAAGATGCCTGTGCGTATTACCGTTCATTCAATTCTTGTAGCAATGTATTTGTTTTTCGAAAACTTCGACAGATTACTCGAGTTAATTGCATTACATGTGACGTTAACATTTTCCTGCATTTATACGAATGATAGAACACTGAGTCCGAGAAATGACGGTCCGAAATATCACAGGAGTCCTTTTATCTCTAGGTACACAAACGATTTGCGTTTTCGGACTTTTCTAGATTTGTTTCGTCTCGGATTCGGAACGAACACGAACCGGATATATATCGGCATACGAGTCAACGACATGGTGCAACTGCATTTCCATAGTAATAGGTGAATCGCAATTGTATGGGGAACGTAAATCTGTCGCTTACTGCTAGTGCTAGGGTAGACGACCGCAGAACAAAACGTAAAAGAGGACGCCATGTCCTGCCATGTTGCAGGGATCTGACTCGGCGTCTCCGCGACACTTGCCTGGACGATGAATGCGACGTGTGTGACGAGATGATCGAAGAAGAGTCCTCCTCCTCGTCTGATGACGATGATGATGCATTCGGAGGTTTCGACGCATTGGACATGGCCACCGGGCCATGCCGCGCCAAGTGCTCGGGGCTGACCCCGCCAAATCCCGCACCTCAGGCGTCGTCACAGCCGGTAATGCATTGATATCAGTATTACAGGTCTGCGACATGAGCGTGTTTGGATCAACCCTTCTGCTTTTAACTCGTAGCGACCCGATTACAGCCGTCGACATATCTACTACGCCAAAATTTAAGTGTGTTATAAAGATTCGATTTCCACTTGTTTTGTGTTAATTACTGGTAAAGTGACCTGAAATGATTGCCGAACGGGTATCATGGGCACACACATAGACAGCGACAAAATATAACCAATCTCGCGAGATAAATAAATGTAGGCCAGGCAAATATTTCTCCCGGCCCGGAAATCGAACCCGGGACCTCTACGTGGTAGTCGTGGTACTTCGTGATAACCGTCGGCTACGGGGGCAGTTAAGGGAGAATCGTGCACCACTATTGTAAAAAAAAGTATTATTCTTACGTTTTTGTAGGAATTTCGCAGTTAAAACATGACTATGGCAAACGACATACTATGCGGGAGACGCCGAATTGTACGTCAGTGCAGTACGCTGATAAACAATGGGATAACTGTTCCCACATAGTTTTTTGTGGTTTCCATCAACACATCTGAATTTTATTAATACCATTTATTAGAAGTGTTTTTTAAAAGGAGACTCGTTGCTACCGTTCGTTAAAAAAGTGTCCTGCTATTATCCACTTCGTCGCAACATCGAATAGATAAACAGCTGACTATAAAATCTGTACCGTAATTTCGCCGGTACAAGTTGTATGCGCACTGGTCTAGCGGGTTAGCGGCCGGATTCAGATTTCACCGCCCGCGGTTTGCATCTCAGATGCTGAAGCTTTCTCTGGGGAGTATTTGTTTCGTTCTTTTTTCTTTTGTATTATTATTATTGCTATTATTTTTTTTAACTTTTTATACTTTTTTTATCTCCTCTTACTATATAATTACTTTCATCTGCAGTAATATTATAAGTCCCATAACATAACACTATAATTTATGTTTTTAACCGACGTCAAAAAAGGAGGAGGTTCTCAATTCGACTGTATGTTCTTTTTTTCTTTTTTTTTGTATGTATGTTCCGCGATAACTCCGGTATTTGTGAACCACTTGTCATGATTCTTTTTTTGTGGTCCCATTTCATTTTGAAGAAAATCATCTACCTCAAAGGGTGGCTGTTCACGCAAGAAGATTCATTTTTATAAATAGCGCCTAACTTTAATTTAGGAGCAATTACTTTAATGGTTGTTTTTGCTATTCCTCCAATTCCAGGCGTTTTTCTCTCAATATACTTTGAGTAGTGAGAACAAATTATTATCTCCAGTGTTAAGTCCTGTAAAGTGGCGAATTAGGGGATATTTAATTCCACGTACTTTTGAGGTCGGTTTTTTTAGTACTCTGTACTGAGATTTTTAAATTACATACAACGCAACATTGAATTCGTTTGTTTTTGCTTGACTTTTATGAAACAAATCTCGGAGACAACGTACCTTCACACATTCCATTTAAACACTTTTATTTAGTTATTTGTATTATTATTATTACGCAGAAAATTTAGTACAGACAGTTTTTAACTTTAGTTGATTACCGTTACATAAATAATTACGTTACGTTACTTAAATAGGTATTTAAGTAGCTATCGATAAACACATTAACACTACAATAACTGTCGTGTATTTGCAAGCAGGTCTCAATTTATTTCAATACATTTGAAGTAGACTTTGATTTATTTGCTTGTATTATACAGACATACATATACAAAGTGCACGCCTGGGACCTTCAACTATTACATAATATATAATTTTATTAAGAATACCTCGTATATATTTATATATTCATAAAAGTAATTTTATTAATATTCATTCCGTGCATAAGTTTTGTGAGTGAGATTTGTATGTTTTAGGTAGAATAGACCAGACAACCCTGGTTCATTACAATTATCATATAAATTAAGGATTAGAAATAGACAATAGCTCACAGTGCTAGTAGGAACTTCGTATTTGGAAGAGGCCTGTGTACATAATGTACTTATTCTTTTAAGTACATTCTGTACACTTACATTCCATTTAATACATTCCAGTGACGCGATATCCACTACAACGAACAAGAAGATGGAAGCGGAGCTCAATGAACTGAGAGCACCGACAGATAGGCTTCTTGAAGAATGCGATGTATATGAAATGGAAACGCAAGCGGTCAAGACCTCACGTATGACATTAAAATGGGAAATTTGATCAAATTCGACGATTTTCCGAAGAATTAGAAAAAGAGTGCAAACGAAAGGAGTTAAATCTGTACCCTCCGTGAAAAGTGCGCTAAGTCAGAAATTCGTGTTTTGAGAAAAACGGATTTAAATAACTTTTTTTTTCTAGTTTTGAACAAGTTAATTTTCCTAAAAAGGAACTTCAGTGTCAACATTGTGGTTTATCAAAAATTAAATTTTTAACTTTACATAATTTCCTGTGCAAGTACAATAAAAGCAAATTGTGTCATTTGTCACTTTAAACCGTGGTTGTGTTAGATGATTTATTACGAATTGTAAGTACCAATTTACACGGCGTATGGTGACTTGGTGAACAATGATACATAAATAAGTTCAAATAGATTTATTTGGTTGCCTATTAAGATTACAAGAATCTTGCCGAACAAAATTGTAATTAAAATTAATAGGTTTTCCGAATCAGTTGAAATAGATGGAATTGCGCAAAAATAAAAAATGTATCACATAAACTCTAAAGTTGCGGCCAAAAGTTTTGTGTATATTGCCATATCTTAATTTGTATTGTTACAATTTTAAGCGTACAGTTACCTGAATATTAGTAATGAAAGGTATATCTCATAGTGTGTGCAAATAAAATGCATTATTTTAAATCCTTACGTATTATTGTTGTAACAACTACAAAATTCAACATCACCAGATTAGTTTTTGCAAGTAGATACTCGAAGGTAGAATAAACGTTTACTTCATAAAATAAAAAAAGACTCATTTGCGTTTTAAGAATTCACGGCAATGGACCTGCAGTCAACTTAATACCTACCTAGGTAACAATAGGTAATAATTTATTTTTTTAGTTAGTAATTATCATGCCACTTCGACCTTACATGTTTAAGTCAACTTTTCTAGATCTACAATAAAATTAAATAACGACTATATCGTCGCTGGCAGCGATACTTATTAAAATACAATATACTAAGCAAAGTAAAATTTAAACAATAAATATAAAAGTGAAGCAAAGTAATCAATCCTCTCAATCCTTCTTAATTTGTTTTAAACTGACATAAAAACGTTTATTGCCCATCATTCAAAATAATAAAATAAATGAAACTATCTTCTAAATTCAAAACGTAATAAGTTGTCCTAAGTTTCAGATACACAAGAATCTTTCGAAAAACAATCGTCATAAACTTTTTTTTTTAATTAGGTCATCAAACTTTTTTTTAAATAATAAAGTAAACAAAACTGTAAAAATAACCAGTGTTCGGGAACAAAAAATTATCTAATAATTATCACAATAATAATTTTTCTCCGCTATAGGTTCAGAATCTATAATATCAGAATCTATATCTTTCTTTTTTTCTACTGCTACAAGCAAGGGTCCAACAAAACATTTGTTTACATTTTCTATCCGAATGTAGTCATACTTTTTGTTTCTTTTCGCATACGACATGGAAACGTTGTTAACATTATTGTAACTTTCTTTGTATTCGAATGTAGGGAATTACATTGAGAAGAAATGTGTTGTTTGCTGATGGTAATACAAATTCTCAATTCAAACTCACTACAGAACATAAAGTTCCTGGACACGTACACATGGAAGTAATTCTGATCACGCATTGATAGAACGCGCTTATAATGCGAACGTCTATGGCTGCTAACGACACCTAAATAAAATGCGAACGTGTATGAGTATATATGCCATCCAAGAGATTGCCATTAATTGGTACGAAGTGCATCTTATCAGTGCATTATATCTTAAATCTAATAGTAAAAACAAGTTTCCTGTTATGGAAATGAATGATGATGACTTTGTGATTTTGCTTAATTTTCTAAACAGCAGATGCAGGTAAAGAAATTTAAATCGCGAGGTGAAAAGTTTGTGTGGTCAAATGCAAAAAGAAAGTTACAATAATATTAACTACGTTTCCATGTCGAATGCGAAAAAAAAACAAAAAGTATGACCACATTCGAATATAAAATGTAAACAAATGTTACGTTGGATCCTTGCCTATAGCAGCAGAAAAAAGAAAGATATAGATTCTGATCCTGTAGCATAGAAAGATTAATATTGTGATAATTATTAGATATTTTTTTGTTTCCGAACACTTTGGTTATTTTTACAGTTTTGTTTACTTCATTATTTTTAAAGACGGTTGATGACCATTTATAAGACAATAAAAAAAAACTCAAGTTTGAGACGATTGTTTTTCGAAAGCATCTTTTGGTCCTGAAATTTTGGACAATTTATCACGTTTTGAATTTTAGAAAATTGTTTAATTTAGTTTATTATTTTTAATGACAGTCAATAAGCGTTTTTATGTCAGTTTAAAACAAATTAAGAAAGATTGATTACTTGACTTCACATTTATATTTATTGTTTATTCATTTGGAACACCAACATATTACACCATTGACTTACAAATAAATGGACGACGGGTCTAATACAAAAACCACGAAAAAAATGTCCCAAGTCAACCTATTTAAACGTAGTGACATGTAAAGGAATAATATATAATATATAATATATTCTTTCATATTATGAAAAAGCTAAAACGTTGAATTTAAATTGTAATGTCATCGCAGTACTGTCTAATTTTGCTTGCTTCGCTGTCAGTCGAACAAAGGAAGACTAAAGCGTGAATGACGCTGTATACGATTTTAACGCCCTATAAATTCGGACACTTTTTAGCGCGGACCCGACGTTCATATAATTGTAAGTCAATGGATTACACAGAAAAAATAAGATTAAAAGACAACATTTGGTAAGGCACAGTTCTTATGTATAAGCCAACTACAGGTATCCACATCACTCAATATATACACAGATACAAAAATA